AACTTTTTATTCCCAGGGCAGATGTAAGGTCTCTCCATTTGTTGAAAACTGCCCCAATAATTACTCGCATCTTATTCTGTCACCGATCAGACTCAAATTTTGCCCTTTTCATCGCAGTAGAGCGGTCATGCCCAAAGTCAGTCCACTAGAGCTAAAGTCCTGGAAGTTTTCAACGTTCCTCTGCTTTAATACACCTGATTCAGTCTGTTAATTAGCCATAAATGGAAACCAGCTGCACTGAAGCTATTAACTATTAACTTTTAAAAAACCTTTGCACCTGTGATGTAGTTGGAGAGGCGCATCTGGCCAGTCTTTATGATCCGTCTTGAAAATCAGTCGTCCGTTTACTCTCGCTAATATGCCAGCGGTAGCAGAGACTCAGCGTGGGAGCAAGGTGAAGCAGACCGGGCAGCACGTCACACAGACACCCCAAAAAATACAACCTGAATCATTTCTCATTGTAAATATAATTATGAGGGCTTGAGGCTGGAGATGAGCTTGGATATTTGTCAGCCTCCCAAAAACCCCGTTGTTGGATCAACTGCAAAGTTAAGGTCCTGAATTCATAGATGCTCATGTATACTAGGCAATCATAATTGTGGAATAAGTTTATTTAATATAAAATATCCCCCCCATCTTTTTTCTTCTTAAGGAGGTGCAGATGTTTAAAGTGTAGTTTGTCATAAAGGACGCAAATGACTTGCTGTTATGCATCTGTCTCTTTTTTTAAAATGAAACTGATTTTTTTTCTCCCGCATCTCTCTACAGGGGACCCCAGAGTTTGTGGCTCTGTCTCAGTGTGTGCATTACTTTGAGTGGAAAACCTACGCTGCCTGCAGGAAAGACAAATTCAAGCCACACAAAGAGGTACGTTCTGGGAGTCCCAATCGGTGGTGGGCTCGTAGGTTTCTGAGTAAAAAGGAAACAGTCACCACATCCTCAGCAGAAACAAACAGTCAGATGATAGAAACTAGACCTTCCAATCCCATAAAGCACTGAGGTTTGCAGTGTGTAGCAGAGGCACTGTCACATGCTGTTACGGTGGTAGGGTCTGAGAGGGGGTGTGAAATTAATTTAGGATGCTTTTCTGTAGATTATCTACTTCTTTTTAAAGCTGTTGTGAAAAGTCCAGTTTTTTCACATTGGATTATGTTAACAGTCTCTTTCTAAATGGTTTTTAATTGACCTCTTTCCTCTAATTCTCCACACCATACCCCGTTATGACAATGTGGTAGAAAGAGTTGCTAAGACAGGTACAAATGATTAAACTTAGGGAGCTGAGATTTCACATATTTTAATAAAGTATAACTTTGCCAAGAGGTGCATACTGTTTCCACTAATCATCCTGGAGGTATTTCTACATTTTTAGTCCCACCTGTGAAAAATTCAGCTGACATAATTGGGAAAGGCACATGCCTATCTATGTAAGGTTCCCCCCGGTGACGTTGCATGTCTGAATGTCAATCAGGGAAAGGATACAGAACCCTTTCTGGTGCTTTAAAGCAGTGTTTCCAAACCTGGGGTACTTGTACTCCTTGTGGCCCGCGAGTGCATTGCAGGCGATATATGAAAATATTTTATTTCTTAGGTTGTAAAATAAAGCTTTCTGAGGATCCAACTGAAAAATGAACCAAGCTTTTCTCAACCAAAATAGAAGTTTTTCTTATGTTTGAGTTCACCTTCAGCTTTGACACACATCCAAACCAAGCAGAGGAACAGACTGGATGCAGAGAACTGACTGTTATCAGCTGTTTTTCACATTGAGATATCAAAGCTCATCAAAGCAGCTCAGGTTTCTTGATGAAAACCAAATAAAACTAATTAAGTCTGTCTGATTATAAATCTTGTTCTCCATTTTGTTTCCAGTTTATGAAGTTTAAATGTGATTATACTCAGAAGCTCCTGTTTTATAAATACAGGTTTCTAATATAATTTAATTTATATTTATTTCAATTCCTTAATATCCTCCAGGCAGCATACTTATGTCAGTTTTATTTATTCGAGAATGAAAGCATAAAATGATAAAAAAAAATGAAATGTTCAATTTAAAAGATTTCAGTTATAGTACGTTCCACTTTGGACAATACGTTTGATTGAGTAGTGTACTAATGGTACGAAAAAATAACCAAAGGGTACACAAGTTAAAATAGGTTGGAGAAACGCTGCTTTAAAGGTCCCAGTGAGCCCTCTGGCCTCCATCTTTGGTAAAAAGAAGAAACTTGGAACCAGCAGGACTCATTTTTAGAGTCAGGAAGGTGACCAAGAACCCCATGGTCTCTCTGTCGAAGCTCCAGTTGAGAACCTTCCAGAAGGACATCCACCTCTGGAGGAATTCATCAATTGGGCCTTTAAAGAAGAGTGGCTGGAAGAAGGTGATCCTTGATCAAACAGCACATTGCAGCCTGAATGCAGTTTGCCAAAAGACTCTAAAACCATGAGAGAAAACATTTCTGTTCTGATGAGACAAAGATGGAAGTCTTTGACGAGAATGCCAGACACCATGTTTGAAGGAAACCTGGCACAACTAAAGGAAGTTGCTTCACTACACTGAAGTATGGCAGTGGCAGCATTATACTATGGGAAAGATTCAGCAGCAGGAACTGATAGACTAGTTGGGATAGAGTGAAAAATGAATGGAGCGATGTAGAGAAACATCCTGAATGAAAATCTTCTCCTGACGCGTTTCAGCAGTGGATCAGAACCGATCTGTGAATTTCCTGAAGCGACTGAGGCAGCAGAATCAGTTCTCCAGAGAAGGAGCAATCAAACTGTTTAAAGAGAGTTCTGATAAGCTTATGGCATCTTAATCAAAACATTTAAGGCTGTAACTGATGCAAGAGGTGGATCAACAAAGTATTTATTAAAGCTGGGACTACTTCTTTTAATCAGATTTTTTTTGTGTGTTCTATTTTTAATAAATTAGCAAAAAATGCTTGTTGAATATAAAGAGAGGTTATTAATTTAATAACATTAAGATTATGAAAATGAAATAATGTATATAAGGTGTGGGTGACACATTTATGGTTTTGTAAAAGATTTAAAAACTGGGTTGAACTTTAGCAAAATGTAGGAACCCAAAAAAATTAAAAAACCTTGTATTATCTTGCCCTTGTGTATTTTATTTGTTTTTTTTATCAGTATTCTTTAACATGACATGCAGCACAGGCCTGTTTCTGGGAAGTGGTGTATTAATGTTGCTGCTGTGTCCAGGTGCCCTGCTTCTTGTTCGACTCTGATGGCAAGAAGCACGACCTGAACCCTCTGATCAAAGTGAGCGACGGTTATCTGGTGGACGACGGCGACGAAAGCACTGACTTTTATATCAACGTCTGCCGAAGCCTCAGTGAGTTATGTTTATATGTGGTCTACTGCATTTCAGGGAAAAGAATTAGGAAACAAAATGATTGAAAAGAAAAATCTGTGATTTTATAAAATAATAGTGGGTCAGATGTTTTTCTGATCACTTTCTTAAATGTAACATTTGGAAAATATAAGACTGGGTTCAAAACTTCACGATAGGCATAACTCATCCCTTTAACCACATCCCCTGTTGTAAAAAACCTGGTAAAGGGCTGGTTATAGTCCTGCAGCAGTGAGCATGACGCAGACATTTTTGATTTATGCTCAGTTTTAAAGTGTGGTCTGCGCTATGTTTATTCCATGCCACAATGCAAGAGGTACAATCATGAACTAGCTGTGGGTCTAGATACGGCCGAGGCAGTGAGGAAGGGGGGGCAAGTTTGTCCGACAAGGGAGGGACATGAGGGTGAAAAAGAGCAGGGATCCAGGTGGAAAAAGGTTCCTAGCATTCTCACGCACCTCGATCTTCTAACTGGTCCAACTTCACGAGTTGTTTTCCGCAAATGCGGTATATGAAGTGTTGGCTGCTGGGCCGCGGGGTTGGCTGCTACTTCGATTGCGCAGACAACAAGAAAGAGCCGGGTGTGGGGAGGAGGTTGCTTGTGAAACCTGTGCGTATCTGTTCGAAGCGATGCTCTGCTGAACGAGCGTTCCAGGCGACTGGTTGTTGCAGACAGCGAGCTGATTGGTTTATTCAGAAAAATAAGCCGATAAGTTTACTCTCTGATAGTCACCTAGTTACCACTCACTGTACACTGTAGCTGACCAAAATCCTGGATGATTTTCAAATTCCCCTCCGACATTTTTTTTAGATATCAAAAGTAGGACATGTCCGGGAAAAAGAGGACGTCTGGTCACCCTACCATATCAACAATATAATGTTTCAGTGAGTGAGTGCTTGTTGCTATGATGCGTCTTTGCTCAGCAGCTTTGCTTGTTGTAAACCAGCCAATCAGAGCACAGCTCATCTAAATATTAATGATGATACCATAACAGGAAGAAAACCTGTGGTTTCATTCTAGGGCTTTTAACCAGGCTGGCATTAGGGCTCATAGAACAGCAAATATGCCATTGTCAGCCCAATCAATGTTACACACCCTATTCAGAGACCTTAAGGACCAGCACCAAATTAGCCTCGTGAGACCATCCTGATCTCGCGAGCTTTCAAGGTTTCATTCGCAGATCAGTCTGGAGACTCTCTGTTAAAGAAAATTTGGAGCCATTCATCAAACGAACGTCTAATCAGCGTTGGCTTTGAGGCGGTTTGAGGTGTGACGTAACGAGAAAGTGCGACAGTTCAGTCTAAA